GGAGCACGAAATGACGCGGTGGTCAATTCCCAGGGGTGTCGACAGAAACTACATTCCCGCCTACGCAGTAGACGACAAAAACCCATCTTATATGACAACCAGCTGCCAGCAGGTCAGAAAGGGTTCCTCGGAGGTTGTAGGTTGTGTTTCATGGTGTAACTGGTTGCATTCACTGTCAAATGTATCACAGATGATCTCCGCACTGTTAGGGAAGGATAAATGATATGATGGTTCTCTAAGAAGGCCGTGCTGAGTGGGTCTTGTGAGTTTGCGCGGCTTGGAAAAGAACACAAGTTGCCAATAAAACCGAAAAGACCACCTTCAGGAGACAGTTGAGAAGAAAAGATGGTCCCTGGAACGGCAATTTTGTCTGCCTGAAGAAGAATACACAATTGCTGGGACAAGAGCTTTATTAGCCTGACGTTTCGGGTTTCCTGATCGAACCCATCATCAGAGATTGTGGTGGACTAAAAACCAAAGTGTTCAGGAAAGCGGCAAATACGATGCAAGTATCTCTGATGATAGGTTCGAGCAGGAATTTGAAACGTCAGACTAATAAAGCTCTTGTCCCGGCGATCGTGTCTCCTTCTTCAAGACTGCTTTCTGGGACTCGTCTCTGCGCTTCTTTTGTCTGCCTGGCTTTTCAGACTTTTGCCCGAACCCAAACATCAGCTGCCACTGATAATGGGTTTGAGTAAGGGTCGAAACTGCCGACTGCATATTGCCATGACGGATTCCTCGCTGATTTTGTTCACCGTACGCTCTAATGAGACTGACCTATCGGTAGTTCTTGACCGGTCACGCTGGACAATCACCCAGGCTTGCCGCCAGTCACTTGAGACGTCGGTTAGTCCTCGACCTGTCTCCGTACGAATTGCGCAGGCTGTTAATAAAGACTGGGCCAAAAATAACCGCAAGGTACCGCTTTCCCTGGCAAACCCATTGGTTGTCGTAATTCGTCCCGAGGACAAAGTAGAGCTACCTGATCCGTGCCAGCGTTAGGGAAAGGGAGATGTTATCGCCAGGAGGGGGTCCATATTCGACAGAGGTTTCGGCCTCACACTTGGAGCTATCCTCAGACACAAAGCCAGGTTCCTAGCTGCAAAAAATTTATTAATTCTTAGAGACGTGAATATACTCACCAGAGCAAAGAAACGAACTTAAAGAGTACATTTTGGGAGAAAAGTACAATGCCTGGTAGTCATCTGGTGGATTCTAGGTGAATTACTTAGGAAATCCTGCTTGGGCAGTCAACTTACTGTATCAGATTTGGTGGATTCCAGACGTTGCAGTAGGTTGGGCGGGCAACTTGACCCAAATGTGATTAAACTCGCGTCGTCCGGCGGGGCCTCGTAGCTCAGGTGGTTAGAGCGTTGGCTGTACTAAAGCCTTCCCCTTACTGCGTGGGTTCGAATCCCACCGAGGCGCCGAGTTTTTCACAGTTGGGTCAATATGAATTATTCAAAATCTGCCAAAACATCAATGAAAAGTACAATGAACTGGTGTTTTGTACATTAAGTGGATAATGTTCAATCCTTTTGTCAAACCTAAAAAGCAAATAAGGGTATATAAATATCCGGCGGGAGGCATGCGATGTCATGCATGGCGTTGTGCCAAGAGTCAGGAAATGCATATAACCATCTAAAGAAGCCTACGTCTGCACACCACAATTCAGTCAAGGCATTAAGATGGAAGATGTCGCTGTCCCTAACGCATATGACGCGAAATTTCAGTGTTAAGCGCAGTCGAAATGCTCGTATGTTAAACATTATTTCAGCGATTAAGTGCTACTGGGTGTTAAGCGGAGCCTTGCACCCTTCACACATGGCTCAGCGCGCTTTGAAATGCACCTTCTGCAGTCGCAGAATTCCTGCAGTTGTGCAACTTTTGTAAGCATTGGAGCTGAGCCCGGATAGCTCAGTCGGTAGAGCATCAGACTTTTAATCTGAGGGTCCAGGGTTCGAGTCCCTGTTCGGGCGGTCGTTTTTCTGACGCTGGTAAATTTACGCACTAGTGTAAGAAATCTTCTCATTCTGCTTTCAGCTCTTTCAGGATGGTCGCTTCGCGGGCACCCGCTTTTATAAAAAAGAAACGTCGCATTTCGGACTATTTGTTCCCTCTTCAGAAAGTTTTCGTCAACTTTAAGGAAATTACTTTCTGTACTGAACGAAAAGCGTTCTCGTGTCTTATATGGTGACGTGGGTGTGCGGATAAGCATGGTGCGCGCCCTGTCAAAACCTCACCAGACTTACACATGACAATTTAGGGTAAGAAGAACTTGCTTCAGCGTAGGCAAATCGATTTTAGATGCAAATTTAGGATTCGAAAATTTAGCGGTGAGTCGACAGAAGCGACCCTAATAGTAATCACTTGCGAATCGATACTCGCTGCTCGCGTCCCGCCCGCAACTGGCCTCTGATTGGTTGGTTGCAGTCGTAGCAGTACGTTTCTCACGGCCGCGCACGAGTAAGCGTACGCTGATATGCTATCAATTTTTATCGATTGGACGGCGTGCTTGTTTCGCATGCTCGCGCCTGCAGGCGCCCATGGGCGTCACTTCCTGCCTTGCGACGCCGCTGAACGCACGCATTGCTGTCCCGTGCTTTACCTTTTCTGTTAAAGCATACTGTTGAGTTTTACCGTTTTCTTTTCTATCATGTTCAGACCAGTATCTCGGAGAACTCAACGTAGGCGCGTCGAGAGAGAGTTTGGAAATCGTATACGTAAAATTGCCGAGAAATTGAGGGAAAAGTACCCGCCCAAGTCATCATCTTTGTCGACAGGTTTATCCACCTACACTCAGTCAACAGACGCCCCAACGTCCTCGTCTGTTCGAACAGGCGAGTTCCAGAAGGCAGTTCAAAAGAAGATCCCTGCCAGCACCAGTCCCCCGTGCCACCGGGATATTCGCTGTTTCCGCCTGTTTCCCTTCATTCCTTGTTGATCTCCTTCACTCATAGCTCATAAAACTGTCTAATGCGGGCGCGCGTTCAACGACGAAGCACAGTTATGTAACATCACTATCTGTGTTTTCTCGTCCCAAAAATGCAACTTTATATGTTTCCAAATCTTCTGATTTAAATCAACTTGGATTTGAGTAAAATTTAAACAGTGTACAGGTTGGGCTGCAACCGGAAACGAGAAAAAACTCGCCATATACCCGTTCGGATTCTATCAGAAATTGTCCATCTACACAGAAATGCAAACCCAGTAATGTTTTGCTTACTCGGTCTTTAGGTAAAATGTCAACAAAATGGATGGGTAGAGGGTTCACTAGTTGGTGGCGGATGCAACTACTACGTCAAACGGAGGCCTACTTTCCGAGAACAAGTTGCCGCGCTGCTATTTTGTGTTGCCCACGCAAACGGCGCCATTGATCGCGGCGACTGAATACTACTGACTTTTGAGTTTCACCAAATATATGATTGTTGGAAGGGGGCTTCCCTGATCAGTTTACGGAACACGAAAGCTGCGCTGCGTTTTGAAGTGGACAAATTGCGATGTTTCACAAGGATATCGGGCAGCGGTATAGTGAAGGGCCCCACTTAACTGTCAGTGGACTGCGGATAGTGTCATATGGGGTGTTATCTTGGCATACATTTGCAGGCTGTTGCAAAAATTACACTGCCAACAGCAATTACTTCCCACGGCCTTGCACCTAACCTCAAAATCCGCTATTTTATGAGATTTATTTTTCGTTTAGTGTTTAAGTCCTACTCTAATTTCCGTTGTCATACAATAGCGTAGGGTAAGACTTTCGGCAGAAATCCAGGAAATTTTTGTGTTTTCTTTCATTTCGTCATCTTAATGTCTAGCCTGCTGCCCCACCTATAGAACTCCCTTTACCATAAATCACGCATGGCACGATACACAGTCCACTGACAGTTAGGTGGGATCATTCTCTATACCGTTGGCGGATATAATTGGCAGAACTCTGTGAGAGGAGTACCAGCAAGGACAATAGAGACTGGGATAGTCATTTCTGACTTATTAGTTTTTGTCAGCCGACAGAACCCAACGCCTGGATTTCATGACTTGCGTTTCAAACACAAATTACAGTTCTATTAAGCGCCAAGCCCAATGCCTTACCACTGAGTCTGCGTGATTGCTGTTCACCAAGAGACTGCTTCCGTGGACTCAGGTCCCCAGGTTTAATGAGAGCAGCAGGTATTGTAATCTGCTCCGTGGATGTCCTCACAGCATTGTCAATATTCTCAATCACAGCCGACAGGACGACAGTTCGACCTGACAATGTCCATCTTGTGCCCGACGGCAAGATGAAGTTGGCATGAGGACTTGCGTGTGATTTAGTTTATAGTAGTATGGACTTGCGCAGCATCTATCGCACTCTCTGTTCCTCAGTTCCCACCTCGACTCAGTGTCAAGACAAAGGCAAGAAGACCGGAGACGGAGCAGGGGAGGGCGCAAGTGGATGACGCGGTCGAGCCCGCACGCTGGCGCTCCACTCCCCACCCCCAGATCCACACCTAGGCGTGCCACCACACCCCCTGCTCCACAACGTACACTTGACCAGGATTTTTCATCACCAACAACACCCCCAACAGGACTCAGAAGGACGGGGATCATTGGGCAGTCATGCTTAAGACCTGTATACCAAACGGAAGCGCAAACGCATCTACCGGGAGAGAACCAGTTGTCAGGGAACTGCCAGCGCACACATGGCTGTGAGGGTCATGGTTCGTTGATTCTGGCATAACAGACGTTTACAGACCTTTAGACCCTACCGACAAGACAAAAGTTCTCTGGCCCAGTGAGCAATGATCCCTGCTTCCTTTATGAGTGGCCCCTAAACGTTGGTCCTGCGGGAAACCACGTCTTTCGAGATGTCCTTAGTTAAAACTAGGGAGCGTGTCGCTTTTTAAAACCACACGAATTACGAGATGTTCGTACAACCATGCGTGTAGAAACTGTGATGCAATTTACATTAGGTGATTATGTATGTGAGCGCAGGTAGGTTGAAAACTTCGAGATAGTTAGAAATGAAGGTTTCATTTCGGAATATACAGTGGGTATCTCGAGAGAGGCGTGATGATGATGACGACGACGACGACGATGATGTTGTTGTTGTTGATGATGATGATGATGGTGATGATGATGATGATGATGATGATGATGATGATGATGATGATGATGAAGATGATGATGATGAAAAACTAGATGGTCATTCACGGAAATTTGGAACCGAAGCACTTATTGTTCATATCCCTTACTATGTTTTCACCAGGAGAAAACTTCCCCGGACACTTGTGTGACGTCTCAACAAAACCACCCACAACGACCTCCAGGTAATCTACTGTGACGCCAGGGCTACCTTAGTGCTTTGCGGGTCTTCAACTCCCCGTGTTACTATAAATAGACATTTAAGCGTCTAATGGCCATAACCACCTTTGAGGAGTTTTACAGCCAAAGACAAAGATACTAGAAGGATCCCATACGTCATATAACCAAAGGCTGAATACAAGATACCCCAATAAGGAAAAACATTCAAAATGAAAAATAAATACACTGTGAAACTAAAAAAGAAGGAGATATCAGTGTAATCGCAGAGTTCGGTTGGTAGGTCGGCCGACACACTTGTGATCCTCTGTTGACACAGATAATTCCACGAAAACCCAGATATACAACATCGAAAATACAGCAAATGGGCTCATTCATGAAATGTCCATCGTACTTTTCAAATGTGTCTTCGTTTCGCACAGATTAACGAAATAGTGTTGTAACACTAATCAGTTTATAGCATGATTTCATACTAATTCAATTACCTTAAGATGCCGGCCTTCCAACGAACTTCTTTCCTGCTGTAAAAAATGACCACTTAAGTAGCGTGCTATTTTCTCATTGATTTTCGATGCCCTTCAAATATGCAATTTTATTTAATGGAAAGCATGCATAAAAATATTCGTCCTGTTGCCCATTCGGTAGAAAATTACGTCTTCTTCCAATTCAATCCTCGAAAGAAGGGTATTGTTTGGTTTTAAAAAAGTTTATAGTTCCGAGATTTTTTAATATCGTGAAATGAGTGTTCATAAAACATCGTTTCTCTGCAATTACTACTGTTGCTTACAACAACATGGCTCAAATCAACCGCTGAATTTCATGAACCCCATGATGTCCCCTGTTTATACCGTAAAGAAATGTACGGTTTTCCATACGCGAAAAATATACGGCTTGTATTTTGGGAACCCTGAATACAAGTGCAACAGCACGTCGGAGTTCAAACTTATTCGGGAATTGGAAAAGTTTTTAAAAACCTAATTATACCCTGCCTTCGATTATAAAATTGGAAGGAGACGTAACTTTCTACCGAACGGGCAAAAGAATGAGTATTTTTATGCATGTTTTTTCATGAAATATAATTGCATTTTCAAGCGATTCGAAAGTCAATGAGAAAAAAGCATGCTACATAAGTGGTCATTTTTTGCAGAGTATAGATTTGCATGCAGCCGGAAAGAATTTCGTTTGAAAACCGGCGTCCTGCGGTAACTGGATTATTGTAGAGTTTTGTTGTACAGTGACTAGGTTTACAGCCCTACTTATTAATCTTTTTGAAACGAAAACGCGTTTCGAAATATCGGTTGACAGTTCATAAGTTAGCCCACCTACTGTAATCTGACCTTGATTGCAAGGATGAATTACCTCTCAGCCGTACTTGCGTCTGTCCAGGGTTCAGTCTTTAGCCCTAGCAGTCCTTTCTGGGAAGAACAAATGAGGACGGTTGGCTTACCACCCATGCACAAAATCTCTTCAAACAGGAAAAAGAAACTGATACTTAAAACTTCCTTTCCCTCTGGATCAAGTTAGGAAGAAAACCTACTGGAATACTTAATTCCACGCCATTTGAGCGAAAAACGGGTAAAAACGGCTCTTGCGAGATGTGGCCTGGACTTCGCTCATGGCAAAAAATGCTCAATCCGTCGCTTCCATCATGGCTTCTGAACAAAACCTGGATCACGATCTCCTAGCGCCGACAATCGGTACAAACACTTGGCGAATATAAAAACCCGAAACGTTTCCCCAGCTCGAGAATTCACCACAAGGTCCTGGCCTGTAGCTGGCGATTACTCACCTCAAATCAACGAATCTAGGCGAAATGACGGCTACAGAAAATAATCATACGAATTAGTAGTAGAATGTCTCATCCAGCATATCCACTTAACCCCATAAAAGCTGGTCATCACTCGGCTTTGCCAACTCCACATCCGCCTGTAGGCATCAGTCTTCTTTATCGCAAGATAGCCAGAAGCACATTCTGAGATGCTCTTAGGTCCAGATGTCCGGAAATCCTGCCGTGAGAGTCAGTCAGAGGACTCTTATTTCGGTTAGTAGGAGTAATGCAACGTGTTCAAAACGGAAATGTTTTTGTACTGACCTCCTGCCACGCGCATTTGTAACGCCCTGCCTAGCAACTCCTACTGAAAGACCTGACTTTTTACAAATACTGCCGCGCATGTCATTTAACCTAGCCACCGGACAAGGCTAATCAGTAGAAGGTCAAATAACCACTCCTTTCTGGTTCATGGTTGTCAAGGCATTCCGGCCGGTCCTGCCTGTAACATAAGGCGAAACTGACAACGCGTCGGGGTGGCGGGGAGGGGGGGGAGGAGGGGGGGGAGGGACTGAGAGATGTTGCTACTGCTGCCTTTTCTTGTAGTTAGATGATTCAGGTGAAAAACATTGACGCAGGGACTGGTAGGCAGTTTAGCATTGCAGTCTCCGCATGCAAAAACAACGTGCCCCGATGTCCACTCACTGTTATCGTTAATTAGCTATCGTCCAAACGAAGGTCTCCTTAATTTAATTAGGCTCAGACGGCCTCAGTTGTCGGCACAACTTTGCGCACCCGGACGCCTACAGCAAAATTTGCGCCTTGACGATGTTTATCAACTGGTCTCAAAATAAAATGTTTACACCTGAAGCAGGAGAAGCTGAGAATTTATTGAACCCTGCGCCTCGGATGAGAACTCAGTCAAACGATTTATTGACCTGGCACCGGCACAGAGAGCTCTGCGCAGGTACCACCAGACCTGCGGCATCGATCGTTCATTGCCTTATACAGTGAGTGACCGATCTCATTAAATGTTGGCTGAAATACTGAAATGCGTCTTTGATTAGGAAGGGTTACCTAGGCGCGGTTGTATTATTGATTATCTTGCGCCATAATCTTATAATATTTGGGACTCGGCAGGATGTCAGCTTTAAAATACGCTTCTTTTTAATCTCCTTTAGAAACCGCACTCAGTAAAAAATGACTACTTTATTGGCATGCATTTCTACAATTGATTTTCGATGACCTTACAAATTTAAATATATGTTATAGAAACCATAAACAAAAATATGCTTTCTCTTAGTCGTTTGATAGAGGATTATGTCTTCTTCATATTTCATACTCAAAGAAGGAGGACAATTAGGCTTTGAAATAGTTTTCTAATTGCCAAGTCATTTCGAACCTGATCATTTGTTGATCTAGCGCCTAGCGATTTAAGTCTACAAGGTGCATGCGTTCCGCGTAAAGAAAATCACACATTTTACTACGTCTTTATAAAGATATCATACAGAGTCCATTACATTTTGCAATGGATGCGGACTATGTTGTACATTTCATGGGGCTATGTGGTAAACGGCCAGGTACGATGCTGTGTGAATGGGCATTGAGCGGTCTTAAAAATCTCATAAGTAGAAACCTTTTTAAAACCTTATTATACTCCTCCTTCGAGTATGAAATATAAAGAAGACGTAATTCTCTATCAAGCGACTAATAGAAAGCATATTTTTGTTTATGGTTTCTATAACATATATTTGAATTTGCAAGGCCATCGAAAATCAATGGCAAAAATGCATACCACTTAATTAGTCATTTTTTACCGAGTGCGGTTTCTAAAGGAGATTAAAAAGAAGCGTATTTTAATGCTGACATCCTGCCGAGTCCGAAATATTATAAGATTATGGCGTAAGATAATCAATATTACAACCGCGCCTAGGTAACCCTTCCTAATCAAAGACGCATTTCAGAATTTCAGCCAACATTTCATGAGATCGGTCACTCATTGTATGTTTTATAATCGGCACTTGTTCCGTTGTTGATGTTGTTATTGTTGAAGATGCACGCCTACAAAAGTTCTAAAGCTCGTTAATTGAAAAAAAAAGAGTTCAGGTGCTCGATCCGTCTCTTCCTTTTTAGTCATAAAAATTAGTATTATGACAAGTAGCCCTTTAGAAGAAGTGAAGGGTACTCTAGTTGAAATTTGCGTCGACAGGCCAGTGCAAGTAGAAAGTGCATTTTTTCTAAAAGCCTTTACTTCAGTTAGCACAAATAAAATTTCCTCAAGTGGCATATGGTCAAATGATGGGAGAAAATTCCAGGTTCCGAATTCGGAGTAACGGAGGAGCTAACCCAACACATCAGTCGGAAAAGTGGACAGCAACCCCAGTAGAACTGGTTATTTGTCCAGTTCACATCGAAAACAGTCGCCAAATCCCGTGCAGTGGGCTTTGTGACCCTGGGCAGCGTCCATAAATATGCACTTCAGGAGAAAATATCGTGAGATGGCCTGGAATGTAGTCCCAACTAAAAATGATACATGGTGGCACCCCGACTGTCTGCAATGACCTTTTGTGGTCATTCACGGGGAAGTTACTCCACAAAAAAGGCCATTAAAATAATATATATTTGGATTACTGACTCCTACGCAGCTACCATTTTTAGCAGGTAGCCGCGGAAAGTGTATCTGGCAATGAATGTTCTCCCCAAAATGCAATAAGAGAGAGTCTGGTTTGAAAGATGTTGCTCTGTTCGTATCCCTCCTGCAACACGACCTGCATTTTCACATGTTTCTCGGGTTTCGGAAACCTGATACGCGTGGTTTATGAAGATAATATTTTACTTCTCTCCATGTTACTAAAAAAGACATCCAAGAAGACGGAATATTGCAACATGTCCACGAAAATTGCCTACACACCAGAATTAGCCTGACGAAACTTTTGGACCTTTTCAGTCAAGGGTCTTGATAAGACTACACAGCGCATTTTCAAATACAGACATAACGGTTCGATCGTCGATTCCAACAAAGTCCACCGTGTGCTCCACAGCACGATGGACGCAGGAACAATGAGTCGTGTGTGAAGTAGTCCACAGTGAGATTGGGATTGTGCAGCATTTACTGCTCTCTCTCTCTCTCTCTCTCTCCCTCCCCTACCTCCCGGACCCGGTATCATGAGAGAGTCGAGAAAGCATTCTATTCAGTCACATCGCGCGATTTTCACAGGATTACATTGGCTACGAAAGAAAACGCGAAATATTAAGTAGTTACGACCTCCTCTCGGGGTTATTAAATTTGTATATATTCCCAAAGAGCAGTACAAAGTACAGAAGTATAAGTTGCAGTCGTTGGAACAAGACGTTTCTGATTCCCATTCTTCCGAACTGTTTTGTTTTTAACGGAAATAAAAGGAAGCCACTATTTACCCTCTGTAAGCTAGTATACAAGCAAGTGGGCACAATATAAAGTCGCCTTTCCATCAACAGAGTATCCAAACAATCCACAGGGCTCATTTTAGTTATCGCGAAAGGTATCCAGTTTAGGAGTTTACGGACCGTGTATTTTTTATGCCCCACCGCTCAAGAACTTGTAAATTATGCTGCAAACAGTTTTCAGAAAACACTAAAAATAATCTGATTGTCATGGAAAATATTAACGAAGAAATTGTTCCGGTTGCATGGTGTTTGAAAGCATGTGCTATTTATGCATTTGAAAAGTTCAGTGTTTGTAAAAAAACCAGCATTTACTCGTTGCAAGATAGCATACAAACGAGTTGGCATTAAATAAAATAGGTCTTTGTTAGGAGTGCCTACATTCCCACAAACAGGAGCCAGCCAATCACTGGGGGCCACGTGCGTTTTCTCTACAGCGCTGTCATCTTAATCGTGGCGCCTCTCCATTGGCTGATCTCCTCAAGCCTGATCGATCTGCGTATCCGAATTATCGACCGGCTCGTCTAGAATGTTCTTCCCGAAGAGCTTTGGACCGAACGCCGGCGAACCACAGTCGGGCGTTATAAATATGCGTTACTTCCACTTAATCTTGATTTGCAATTTCCTAATACACATTTCCGTGGCCGATCGCGTTCTTCCTCTCTGTGGCGTTGGTATTGAGGACAAGAGTCGGGTACGCATATGCTTCCACGTGCTCTCAAATACTAGGCCGGGACATAACACTCTTTTACTGACAAAAGTACTTAAACCACCCGCAAGGCTCATTTTAGTCGAAAGCACACTCGTGGATTTCAATCCCTGTTGTATGAGGCACGGCGACCATTGCACTTTCAAACTTAGCCGTTATTTTGTGTCGGCAAATTTGGAGTGCCTGGCAAATGAGGTGTGAACGTGGCTTCCGGCATTCCTTTTATGTTTTTCCGGCATGAAATTAGTTGATGTTGTATCGGCAAGGTGCAAACATACTGAGAAGCATTGCAAGTCGGTTCTCCGTCATCCTAACTGACTGCTTTTTGAAGTTGAAAAAGCGCTGGAATCATCAAGGCATTCGTTATAAGCGTGCGACACTTTTTTCCTACCTGTAGTCGCATCGCTGCAGCGTGACCTTGAAAACCCCGACTGCAACCGGCAGAGTCGGGGTCCGGGTTTAACTCAGGTGCCCAGGTTAGAAAAGAGCTATCTGATGATGAAAAACGGTCCAGAAACGGCCATTTCAGTCTTCCGCGCCTTTGTGGATATTCTTCCACATAAACACCTTCTGCGAATTTCAATAACCTAAAGTTGGACACTGAAACAAACAGAAAGTACCGAAATCGACGGAAAAAATAAGTGAATCACTGTTTCCTGGAATAAATTTGAACAAGGCAAAGACGACGGAACATGCGGAATTTAAAGGTGCCATAAATTTCATGATTAAACAGTTTGCTTTGCCTTGAAAATACTCAGTGACTATGTGCAGTTGAGTAAAAGGTCACGAAATTTATGAAGTTATTAAATTCTGCATGTTTCGTCACCTTTACCTTCCTCGAAAAAATAAATGACAACATTTACGATCAGTTGACAGGTTTTGCAGGATTCGTAAATATCTAACACAGGCTCTTCTTCTTTCAGTTATTATGGCTAACCGGTTTTTAATTAAGAAGTTTACTGGCCATGTATTTTGTATGCCACACGGTTCAAGAACTTGCAATTTGTGTTGTAAATAGTCCTCGGTACACATCAAAAATAATCTCTTTGCCGTGAAAAAGATTAACAAAAAAATATTTTGGCTGTTTTGATATTTATAAGTATGTTCTATTCCAGCATTTGAAAGTTGCCGGGATCGAGGCATCCTAAAAGAGTAGGGTCAACTGTCGAACTCTGTATACAGGCTTAAGAAGATGCATCCAAATTTCAATATCTCTAAGTCAATACATCCTCTACTCGAAACCAGCAGTTTTCCACATAGCATGTGTTCATTAAAAAATTAATATCGTCTAGCTAGAACCGGTTTTTTTCGGGAAGAACCGAAAAATGTTTGGAAAAAGGTCGCTCACGTGGTTTTTATTAATGACGTGGACGTGACGGTTAGAAGGATTATCAATGGAGAGCAAACATTGTATGGCGAATGAAATAACTTATCTTCGTCCCTGTTAAGTATAACTTCAAGTAATCTTTGTGTGAAAGTACACGCCGTGGACTTCACTTAATCGGCCTTCGTTGAAGCAAGATGATTTGGTCCTGTTAGGCTGCTTGCCCAATTATTCAACGTATTTAAAACGGTCAGGACATTAATCAGTCCTTTTTCGGCAGTACCAAATGTTTGATTATTGAATTTCCCTTACTATAAGTAGCTTTTTAACTGACCAAGGTACAAGGACTAATCATTGGCTAGGCTCCTCCCTTCCCGACTTCCGTTTTGGCGTCCTTTGAGAGTACGGTCAATTTCCCTTGCCGTTTGTTTTGACGGTTTGTCGGTTTCTTTTTTTGGTTCGTTGATTCATCTTGACCAGTCATTGTTAGATTTTGCTTTATGTTATTACCGACAAAGACAAAGTAGGATGGAATGGCCATTTCTGGCTTATTAGCCGTCGTCAGCCAGTCATACCCAACCCCGAGCTGTGGGACACCCGAGGCTCGAACTCGCGACCTGTTTGTTAGAAGTCAACGCCTCTACTCACCGGGCCACGAGCCCGTTGCCCTGTCGGTTTTCGATCGGGAATATACAATGTTAGGGGGCGCTCACCGATCGTTCATACGGAACTCACTCGCTCCGTTGTGCCTTACGGGCTCTCTCTCTCGAGCCCAACCAGCAGCCGAACAGCGGCGCATGATATTGGCAGTATGCTTTGTCATCTTACCTGTGTGGGGATTGTGTGACCAAACAAATCACTCCCACCTGGGACCCATCAGCCAGGGACACCACGGCGCCAAAACTGCCGCTCCCGCTCTCTTGCCCCCCTATGTCTCCGTCGTCGTTCCCTTCATCACCACTTAGTTGCCAGGATGCCCCGCTGAATGCCGGGTCAATGCCCTCACGGGTATCTCGCTAACGTACTCGCATAGCCCGTGCGCTGCCACGCCAGCTGCAGATCTATGCAGACCTCATGAATGAGTTACTTACCGGCAGGCCGTTTCCTTTCCAACTCTGACTACCTGAATTGTGGTGTGGTCGCGCCAGGTCGATTAAACGTGATGGCAGCCTTCAAGTAAGTAGATTCTGCTCGCCGAGAGGAACCGCCTTCACAACGCCTACCGACGACAACCATAATCGCGTCTGCGGGAGATGCAGAACGTCAGGACAGCTCTAAAGGCCGAGGAGATCCAAGGATGTACGGATGACAACTAATGGAAGAACTTCTGCTCCGTGATCAAGGCTGTCTACGGTCCCCCAACCAAAGGACCTGCTCCTCTTCTCAGCGCCGACGGAAATACCCTACTCACGGAGAAGACACAAATCCTACAGCGTTGGGCTGAGCACTTCAGAGGCGTCCTCAACCGTCCCTCCACCATCTCCGACGCCGTCATCGCCCGTCTACCTCAAGTGGAGACCAAGGTCAACCTTGACCTCCCGTCCTCTCTCCACGAAACCATCAGGGCCATGCAGCAGCTCTCCAGTGTGAAAGCACCCGGATAGGACGCGACCCCTACTGAGGTCTACAAGCACGGCGCCCCCCAACTCATGGATCATCTGACGGCGCTCTTCCAGGAAATGTGGCGTCTAGGAGAGGCCTCGCAGGATTTCAAGGACGCCACAATCTTCAAACTCTATAAGCGCAAAGGGAACCGCCAAATCTGCGACAACCACCAAGGCATTTCCCTGTTGAACATCGCCTGAGCAACCATCTGAAACAGAGCCTTCTGCCGGAAAGCCAGTTCGGTTTCCGTCGTCGTCGTGGAACCCCCGACAGGATCTTCGCCGCCCTCCAACTGCAGAAGAAGTTTCAGGAGATGTGGGCCCACTTCTCCTCTGCCTTCGACACGGTGAATCGTGACGGACTGTGGGAAGTTATGCAGACATTCGATTGTCCCGAACGATTCCCTCAGATGGTGCGTCAGCTCCACGATGGCGTGATGGTACGATTCACGGACAATGGAACTGTCTCAGAGGCATTCGCAGTGACCAACGGTGAGAAACAGGGATGCGTGCTGGCGCCTACCCTCTTCAGTCTTATGTTCTCTACCATGGTGATGGACGCCTACCGTGATGAACGCCCCGAATCCGCATCGCCTACAGGACGAACGGTCACCTGCTGAATCAAAGGCGGATGTACTTCCAGTCGCGTGTATCCACAACCTCCGTCTACGAATTTCTGTTCGCCGAGGACTGCGTCCTCAATGTAACTACTGAAGGAGACATGCAAAGGAGCGTGGATCTCTTCTCCGCTGCCTGCTAGAACTTCGGTCTTGTCATCAACCTGGAGAAGACAGTGGTCATGCACCAACCGCCACCCAGCACAGCCTCCCCCAAAGCGCCGCAAATCAGCGTGAACGGAACTGCAAGTGATGGAGAACTCCCCGTATCTGGGCAGCACCCTCTCCCGCGGTACAAAAATCGACAATGAAGCGGCCGCCGGATTTCGAAGGCCAGTCAAACCTTCGGCCGTCTTCAACACATAGTTTTGAATCGTCACGGTCTTCAGCTCAGCAAGAAACAGAAGAATTACACGGCCGTCATCCTACCGACCTTGCTGTATGGAGCAGAAACCTGGACGGTGTAAATGAAGCAGGCACATAGACTTAACCACTTCCACCTCAGTTGTCTTCGGCAAATACTGAAGCTGAGGTGGCAGGACCGAATCCCAGACACGGACGCACTAGAGCGGACCTCGGCATCTACGCTATGCTGAGCCACCTACAACTATGCTGAAGCGGCCACCTCGTACGGATGGATGACGAGAGGCTACCCAAACGACTCCTCTATGGAGATGCCGCGACGGATCCACGCCGACAAGCAGGTCAGGTCCGGAGCTACAAGGATACTTTGAAAACCTCCCTGAAGTGCTTGCTGACCAACCGGACAAACTGGGAAGATCTCGCTCGGGACCGGCCTACGTGGAGGAGAACAGTGAAGACGGGCGCAGCAATCTTCGAAGCCATCCGCATCACCACCGCCGAACCCAAACTCAAATCCTAGTTGCCACCGCCGCCTAACAACGCCAGCGCTCAACCGCCTCCAAAAGTCTCACGATGTCAACAGACCTTTCGGGCGCCAATTCGACTTGTTGGACACCTCCGGACCAACTGCAGCACTCGGACCGCATCAACGGTCGTCTCTCCGTCCACCTCTCCCTCACCTCCCACGCCGCCAACTAACGTTGACCGCCCTCCCGAACCACCACTGCCATCCTCCTCCTCCTCCACCGCCTCAACGTCTGTCGCTGTGGCGTCTGCCATACCGGTCAACAGTACGCAATCCTGACACACCAACAAACATCGACTCCACCACCGTCGACACCATTGGTGAGGACCTGGGCTATACCTACCCTCATTGCGATCACACCCTCACCTCACGCATCGGCCTGGTCGGTCACTTGCAGATCCATCGAACAGAGACTGGCGAACCAGTGCCTGGAGCACCAACCTACATTTACCGCATCCGCCTCCACTGTCCACATAACACTCACACAGTTATTCATCGCATGGGTCTATTATGCCATATGCGCGTCCTCGAAAACCTGCGATAGACAATCGCCGGCTTAACCACACCATCACCAGCATCTCACCGCACATCAGTATCACCCACCGCAGGTACTCGACTGCCACTTCCTACGCAAGTGGGAACTGTACGTCTCGGCTCCGTCTCCATGCGGCTCCTATCCTGCCTGTGTGGTCGGAGTCTGAGACGAAGACGGTGCGTCGAGCACCGTGACTCGGAAGGCAGCCGACTGACGTACCGACTTAGTCCACTCAGTCTGCTTAGTTGTGTGTGCGGAGTGGTGGATTGGTTGGTGGGCTGGGAGCCAGACTGTCGCAGCCCCTTCTCAAGCGATTTGTGACATTCATGCATGTGAGGAGAGTGTGTGTGTGTGCCTATGGGTAGTGCCTCACAGCCGACGACTGTTCGGTTACTCAACCTTGAAGGGTGACGGTCCAGGCTAAGTGTAGGACCACTTGTCGTCCTTCCAGGTTAAAAGGTCTGAAAGCGTGTGCTATGTAATTATCAGCAAACTATTGCCCTCGCAGTCGAGTATACGCTGGCAGTTCCCTGACACCTGGTTCCCTGCCGGTAGATGCGCTTGCGCTCCCGTTGCATATACAGGTGGTGGGCATAGCTGCCCAGTCATCATCCCCGTCCTTCTGACTCCTGTTGGGGGTGTTGTTGTTGTTGTTGTTGGTGAAAAATCCTGGTCAATTGTATGTTGTGGACCAGGGGGTGTGGCCTAGATGCGGGTGCGGCCGTGCCAGCAACCTGCCCCCTGGTCGTCTTGACTCTGTCTTGACACTGGGTCGAGGTTGGAAGTGAGGAAGAGAGAGTGCGGTAGGCGCTGGGCAAGTCTACTATCACTATAAACTAATTCATGAGCAAGTCGCCATGCCTGCTGCACCCTGTTGTGTAGCACACGGTGGACATCGTCGGAATCGACGGACGAACTGTCATCACATTCGCACTTCCCTTCATCAGTATTTATTTCAAATAAGCTCTGGTTCAGTTACCCGTAGGCTCTGTCATTTGGAGTCGCCAGAATTCAGTATTTCTGATCTGAAGTGGCTAAAATGTGTTAAGCTTGACGAAATAAAATTCCCTCGTTTCTCCTTCTAAGCGATCGTGTCCATTTTCGCATACGCGCCCGCCTGTCATCATGCGCCTGACATGCGGTGATTTTTGTGGACTTTCCGGTCGGACTGGCGACTGCGGCCATTCATGCCATACCCCTCAGTCAGCTAATCGTCACCTCCGATTTTTACAACAGAAATCTAAGCTACTTCGGAGGCTCATAAGTTCCTAGCCAGCTTCCGGTGACAGACAAAGCCAGAGATCCGGAACCGTGGTGGAGAATAACAACCCTCCGCCCCCCCCCCCTCAACCGTATTTTCGGGCAGAGATGTCCTTCGAGGGAGTAGGTGGTAGCGCCAGCAGCAGGGGAC